CCTACCTACCCTAATCGAATCTATCCAATTATTTTCTAAAATTAGATTTTTAGATATAACACAGTGTCAACCTGAGCCTAGTTCAATGGGTTAAAATAGCTATCTTTGACCAAAATGTGTCATAATTTTAAATCTTCATCCCACATGTTGTACTAAAAAAGATATAGGAATAATTTTCAATGTTTCTCCTATAAAAGGTAGAGTCCCACCTTTCTGAAGGTCTACTCAGACGTAAATTTAGATAATACTAAGTACTAACGTAAGTTTTAAAGTGTACGAGATCGAACACTATATCAGTGCAAAGCTCTATTACAAGTCACCAACAAAACACGAAATGTAATACGAATTGTGCAACCAAGCTAAGAGAGTCGTTAATCTAAATGTTAATTAAAACATCAAAATCTAAACTACTTTTCTTTTAACTATTAACCACGCAGTTAAAGTACCAAATATTTCCTTTTAATAATTTTATAATTTAAAATTTGATTATTAATAATGGGAGAGAGTCGAGGCTGTATCTAAAAGAAAATTGAGGAAAAAAAGTTAAATATATATTTTAGTCCTTGATATTTTTATAAAAATCTAATTCTTTGTTGATAATAAATTTATCTAATATACATAACATAATATACAGAGAAAAATTTTCATTAAATAATACTTTTAAGAGTAAATGTGAGACTTTGAACCTTCGACTTTAAATAAGGAGTAGATATCTTAACTGTCAAGTTATGTTCATATTGTATTCTAATATAAATTTATTATGAACCAATTTTACTATTCAAATTGAAAATTTTTAAAACCTACAAAATTAAAATTTGAAAGTAGTAAGGACTCAACTGAAAAAATTTCGAAAAAGTAAGAACTTTTCCCAAAAAGTTCTGAAAGTGGAAAATGGAGAGAGAAAATAATTAAAAAAGGCTAAAAGATCAAGCGAAAAGGTAGCTATTATTACAAAAGAAGAAACAAAATTCAGAATAAATTATGTTTTTCTAGAAACCCTAAATCCCAAAATGTCAAGTGCCCAAAAATTATGTGTTTTTTTCCACCATCAATGCCTTTTTCAAATGGAAACGTGCACGGAATTTTTTATTTTTTATTTATTTTTATTTATTTTAACTAATCTTACAAAATTGCTTCCAATTAGTTTAATTTTTTGTGAAAGATGAAATATCAATATTATAAAAAATTTTAAAATATTTAAATTTAATTAAAAAATAAACATTTCACATCTTTTGAACATAATATTAAATATTCGTTGATACATGACATTTCCATCGATATTTCCATATATCAATGAGTTTGACATTTACATGAGGGGTAAATCGACATTTTCCATCATATTACAAAAAAGTCAACAAAATATAAAAAATATCAACAAAATGCCACTAATATATACATAATATTAATATTAATTCCTTATAAATTATCTATAAATAGAAAAATATTTATTTGTTAATTTAAATATTTTTTAAGAATTTTAAATTCCTCCAACTTTTACAGAAATATCCATCGATATTTTATCGATATTTCTATGAAATTGAGATATTGATTTAAAGAAGTTAAAAATTATTAATAAATAATAATTAATATTATATCCATATTGGTTTTTTTTTTAATATTTAGTTGTTTTTTTTTTGTGATATTATAGAAATGTCATATAGACCTCGAATCTACGAAGATGAAAATGGTGATAAGAATACCGATAGGTCAACAAAAATTTAAAGCCTTACTTTTATTTTGTCTTTTGATTATGTGGTATACATTTAAATCAAGTTATACCATTAAAAAAACACATGAAAAGAACCAATATATTGTTTTTGTTGTGGTTGTTTTTTTCTTTCCGTGAAAACTCTTTAAAATATATCTTTACAATATGTTTGGTTAAATTACATGTAGTCATTAATCATTACAAAATTGTATAAGTATTTAGAACTTTTAAAAATGTCTTTAATGAGTCTCTAAACAACTTTTAACGTTGTGTTTTGAACTTTTAATTTTGCATCTAAGAAATCACTTAATTTTAAAAATCGAATCATAGATATAAAAAGTTTCAACCACATATTCATACAAAATTGAAAGTTGCATACTTATTAGTACAGTTATTAATATTTGAGAACCTACCAAATCCATTTTCGAAAGTTCAGAAACCTGGAAAAGTGTCTTTAAAATTTTTACTTATTCTAATGAAAATTAGGCAACCCCACCATGGTTAATTACAAATTTTGTAGAATTAAAAACAATAGAAATTAATTTAAAAAGAATAGTCACGAAATAGTATTTAGAATGATTTATTATTATTATTTTGGTTGGATTATAAATTGTTTAATATCAACTTCTGAGCTGTATTATTTGACTTTAAAAATTTCATATTTACACGTGCTTTTATGATCAAGTAGTTCATATATTATTCGAGTTAAATCCTAGGTTTATCTTTATTATTGACTCTCGCCCTTCATTATATTTTCTATGATATATATATATATAATCTTTCCAAAAGGTTGACAAGACCAAGAAACAAATTAAGTCTTTCAACAATTGGCCATCACACATATGCACTAGGTATTGCTTTAGAGAATCCACCTTTTCTTTTTTCTCTTTTTTCTTTGGGATATAATAACAAACCCCATTATGGTCTCCTGGGATCGCATAGTGGTAAGCAATTCGAACTTTGTGTAACGCTTATTTTGAGATCTGAAATTCAAGATATGCATTATTAGTCACACTATTATTCAACCCAAACAACAAACTCCAACTATAGGTTTCGAGTATTTTGGTTTGACACTGCAAAGCTAGTAAGCTATGTCTGAGTTAAATTTGGAGATAGAAGTCCTCTTTAAGACGGTGAAGTACGACTAAGCCATGAACTTATTATCCTAGATTGGAACAAGTTGATAGAATTCCATTTTTTACGTCTCTATGTCCCTCTGGTATGGTGACGTGGGAGCGAAAAAAGGAAAGAGATGGATGAAGTTTCCCCGCTTTTGGCATAGCGGACCCAGCAGTAGGTCCGCACGACAACTATTAGTTCAGTGATAGAGCGCACAGTATAAATTACATGGGAGAAATAAAAATAATAATAACAAAAACAAACCCCGTTATGAGAAAATTTATTATTTTCTTATAACAGTGATCCCTCACACACCAACCACTTTCTTCTCATCTTCAATCTCTCTCTCTTCCAAAATTTTAGCACTATATGTTCAGTTGTTAATTATGTCAAGGAGAGAAGTGAGTTGGTTTTTGATAATCTTCTTATTATTGAGTGTTTCAAGTTTGAATTATGAGGTTTTTGGAGTGAGAAAGTTGAGGGAGAAAGTTGAAGAAGAAAGTTATGAAATTGGGAGCCCAAAATCCAACAAAAATGATGCCTTCTTTGCCACAACTTATAGAGCTGTTCCCTCTTGTCCAGACCCTCTTCACAACAGGTAGACTCTCTCTCTCTCTCTCTCTTTTTTTTTTTTTTNTGCCTCCACAAATTAAAACCCTATTTTGGGTTTTATTTCAATTTCTTTTCTTGGTTACATGTGAATCAGAAATCTTCCCTTTATATATCTATATACTATCCTGCTAAATATCCTGTAAAGACAAAAATAAATGAGTACATGTATATATTTTGATACAACTTCTAATTGTACTTGAATTTCATATATGTATATATCTAAAACATGTATCAGTGAAATGTTCATGAAATAAATCAAAACTTAATTATTGAAATGATGTTCTCATTTCTCTTTCTCGAACTGCGTTGTATAAATATCATTTTCGAGCAAACGTATGCGAAGATGATTGTGCGTTATATGTAGTTATGTGTTTGTGGTAGGGATTAAATTTTGATTTAGTCGACTTGCTTGCTAGTGAGAGCAAGTTTTATATATAATCTTTTGTCGATTTGGTGGAGAATTGTGTGTGAGCTAAAGTAAGTACCGCACAATTGTCTCGTTTAATCTCATTAGAATGTGGTTGTAGTTGAATTTGTTTGGTTTTGCTTTTGTGCTGCTAATTGGGTTTGAAGGATTGATGATTCTCTCTTATTTCATGTAAGAAATGAATGGGAGTGATTACCATGAATGAAAATTCTTCCATATATATCTTTATTCTTGTGGAAACTAAAAAATGTTGAACCCAAAAAATCCTTTTCTTAATTGAATCTTTAAAACGGGGTAATCTCTCTACCTCCGGCTCCTAAACTGGTTATTCTTTATTTGTTTGATGATATTGTCTCTTATAAAAATCTCAAGGATGTTAGCGGATTGATCGTCGATCRATTTTGGTTAGTTTGATTTTTTTTTCTTTTGTTGAGTACAACAATTTGAAGATATGAGGATCAAATCTCCGACCTYAAGAGAAAGATTATTGCCAATTACTTCCGACCTATGYTCATGTTGGCATCAATTTTGGTTAGTTTGATTAAAGTCGATCTTTTCCAATTGTTTTTAGTTCGGTTGTTTAAAATAATGATTAGATGCATGCTACCATGACTTCAAAAGTTAACTCAAAACTATCATGTTTAAGATCCAATATTGAAGTAATTTTAGGAGTTCAATTTGAGAAGTTCAAACGTACTTTTCAAATAAGTTTCAAATAAGTTTAGAATCAACTAGTAATGATTTGAAGTACCTCTTTTTCATATTATTTTAGAAAACCGACCATTTGCTTCGCATCGATATGTAAAAGTGAATGATTATAAAAGATCGAACACTCAAGAGGATGGGTCTTAGAGATGAAAACTCTGTTTACTAATCAATTCAACTGCATTAGAAGGGGAAAATTAACTGCATAAGAAAATTCAACAATATTCGATTTGCTTTTGAGAAATTCAATCAAAATCGAATCATCTAACTAAACCAAATGGAAGACCAAAGCGAAAATGAAATTGATACTCTCTAATTGCTCGTATCAAAATTTTCATTTGATTAGATTCCGAAGTAGGTCTGAATAATCTCAGTAGGATTTGTCAAAGAACAAAAACTCCAAAATGGTAAACAAAATAGAAGAAATTGTTTTGCAGCAATTAATCTCTTTTTTTCAATCTGACTTCAATTTCTCATCAAAACGACAACGTTGCCAAAACTGGCTGCCAAAACGTGACCACAGTTTTGAATTCTCTTTTCCACAGATCTAACTATTGAAAAAGCGATAGCAATATCATACTTTCCACACATCTAACGACTATGAACCCAGCTGCCAAAACATGACCACGACTCAACGATTATAAAAGTGATAGTTATATTGTAGCAGCTGCATTCGATATCGATACGTCATCTCAAACCTAATCTGAATTTTCTAAATAAGAGTTTCCAGACCATGTGGGAGTGGTCCAAGAATTTCATTATTGGAGTGAGCTTTGGGCTTGCTTCACAAGATTGGAAACGATTGCGAGCCCTGCAAAAGCCCAAGAAAATTAGTTTAGAATCCAAGGATATTCCTAATTCATTCGAGTAATATTTTGAAGAAAGCTTCAAAATACTTATTGGGTCATAATAAAAAGATCAGACCCAGATCAGAAAATTCAATTTATAACTGTTTTATAGAGTACACAAATGACCAAACAAAAAAAGTAGGTTTCCAAAAGATGCATCAACAGAAACAGCCGTGTGTATTAGCAATTAAGATAATTTGATACCCACCAAAAAGATAATTTGAAGTTCCAACAATATTGTGAGCAATTTCCTTCCCTTGAGTCAGATAATTTATAAATCAAAGTGGAGAAAAGAAAAATGCAATTAGGCCTTCGATTTCTTCCCTTTGGCTTCGCTCGTCGATGGCTTCGCTTTGAAGGGTAGAAAGGTCTTTCCACCCATAAATGGTTGTAGAACTTCTGGTATCTCAACCCCATCTTCTTTCTGGTAGTTCTCAAGAATGCAGCACAGAGTCCTTTCTGTTGCTGTGAGAGTAGAATTTAGCAAATGCACATATTGCTTCGTTTGCTCATTGCTCTGCGGTTGCACCATGGAGAATAAAAGAGCAGTTAAACATATGAAAAAAAAAAARGAAAGAAAATTTGAAGTCAGTTCAATCTCTATATTTTGAAAAGTTTATGATGGATCGCTCAACTTCCAAGATTGAAAACAATTGAACATACTAAAAAACAAAGAAGGAAAAATAAATGGTTAAATGATAGGTTAGATCCGAAAGTCTAGGGATGCGACTATTTAGTCTAGATCCCTCAACTTTCAAGATTGTATGAGATCCATATACTTCAAAAAGTTCAAAAGGTTTTTTTTATTGATCTCTCAATTGATAAGTTCATGTGTCAATTACAAGTGGTATACTGACTGTATGTGGTGTAAACGTTAAACCAATGAGGAGCTATTAGACACAAAATTTAAAATGACCAAATCAACTTTAATCCAAAAATAAACCATGAAGTTACAGGAATGCCAGAATCATAGACAACAATTAAGTTTAAGAATCAATCCCTCCCTATTAAAAGGTTAGCACCAGGTCCAACAATCTTAATTGCCAAAGAAATTCTATAATAATTCAGAAATGATGAAAAAGAACTGACCTTTTTCTGACCATATCGGATCTCTAACCTTCTGGATTGATAGTCAGTGCAATTTGAACAGGATACTAGCTCCCTGTAAGTCTGAGATGCAGGAAACCATGCTTCCAAATCATATTTCTTGGCAGCTGCATCATTTAATGCACCAGAAACTATGGCCACAACTTGGTAAGGGAGATTTAACTGTCAAAACATATGATCTCACATCAGAAAAAGAGTAAAACAATTTTTTTTAATGGAAAACTAAGCTTCTGCCGAGAAAAAAAAAATCTGTGAAAGAGTACGAGAACGCAAAAAGGCAAAAGAAAAAAAAAGGTCGATTCAAGTTACCGACAAGATGAGCCAACCCAGAACCTAAACTAACTATACAAAATTGGGCTCCAATCCAAAGAATAAGGCCTAACATATAATTTCCTTTTTAAACCAAAAAAAAAAAACACAACTTAGACACCAACACCGAATGAGAAGCAGAAATTTGGCAAGAGACCAGCCCTCTCCCCCAAGACATCTCAACCCTTTTTTTAAAAAAAAAAAATATTATTCCTCGCAAGCGAAATATCCCATCAAACGGCAAAACAACCAGCTTGACAACATGGAAATCATAAATGCGTAAAAAAGAAACCATTGAGGCAAAGAATAGAAGCTACCGTCTTATAGAAGTCCTCGGAGTTTTTAATCATCTCCTCATGCATGTCCCATGAATCATTGCCATTCGGGCTGGTCATACAAAATTGCTCTACTTTCTCAAACTGGTGGACTCGAAAAATTCCCAAAGTATCCCGGCCATGGGAACCCGCTTCTTTGCGAAAGCAAGACGAATATCCAGCATATCTGAGGAGAGAACATTAGGAATAGTAACAAAACCAGAACTGCTTTATTTTGGTGCTAGAACGGTAGACAGTCTTCAGTGAGATGCACGAACCTTATAGGCAATTGGGAAGGATGAATCCAATCTTCAAGATGATATGCACAAAGTGGTTGTTCAGCAGTGGCAATTAGATATTTATCATCCCCCTCACCAGTAACCTAAGGAATACCAATTTATTTTATGGTCATATTTTGGCATGCTTCCACAGCCCAAACACAGAAAAACAACTGTTTTACTAATGAACTGAGACCCCTTGTCCTGAAATACAAGTAAAAACTATACTTTCCAAAGAAAGAAAATCATTAAAATTTTGTTTGGCATAAATTTGTTGTATTGTTTGGAATGGTAAGGATTTGAAATGAATTTGATTTAAAAAACATGTTTGGATGTTTGCTGGAAATGAAAAACAAGGAGTTTACTAATGCTTTCCATCCTAATTCTTTTTTGGATAAGAACTTTCCATCCTAATTCATGAATTAAAAATGAAATCAGATCAGGTTAAATTGGTAATTGACTTAGAAATCCTATCAAATCTGACCATTTATCYTAAATAATCTTTATACTTCAAGAGATAAAAATAAAAGAATTAATTTCAAATCCATTAGATTTTAAAATCCCTTCAAATCCTATGGAAACAAACAGAGGGCACAAGCAAACCTTGTAGAGTTCTTCATCAAATTGTGCTAGTTGAGCACATCTAGCCATAATATCTTTTCTCATGAAGAAAGGAGTCTGCAGAGCTGTATAACCCCTTTTCTCCAAAAAGTCAAGGCCATAGTTTATCAAAGCTTGGTTCAAACGTACACCGTCTCCTTTTAGGTAGAAGCCTCTGCCTCCTGCTATTTCAGAACCTATATATTTCCATAGTTCCAGTAAGTTGGAATTAGCATAACGCTTAATTATTCTGAATTTAAATTATGATGGGGAGATATAGAAGGTATAGATTGGAAACAAAGATTTCACAAGGTACAAGGTGTGGAGATAAAGGAATGCGAGTGCTATGCATAAATTTTAAGGAAAAGCACTACCAGCTCAACCAAAATCCTAAATCTAATGCTTCTCAAACTAGAGGGCTCAGCTATTAACCTCTGAAATACTATGATGCATATAGCATATGCCTCTACAAACCACAATTATTGTTATTATTATATTCGTGAGCATTCAAAGCTAGCTTACATGCATCTCACTAGACAACTGCTCAACTCTTTAACATTTGACTATTAAGAATCTCATACGAATTTAATATCTTAAGTAGGTGGCCATCATGAGAATTTAATCCATCCTCATGAAGTCATTTTACATTTTTCACATGCTCCAATATCACTAGGATAGCATATAACACTAGATTTATTACTCCTCATTTTGTCAGATGGACGAAAACAAAGAGATTTCCATTGGTACATAGATTTGAAGCAAAACCAAGAGATTGAAACAGAGTTCCATAGTAGAAATAATTGAAGGTATGAGAGATGAATTTTTTACATAACATAGAAGATCGACTGGAATAAGACAGTTAAAATTTGTTACCTTTTTTGGTATCTGCAATTCCAAGAAGCTCAACAAGATCAACATGATTCTTCAGTTTGGGTTTTACCAGTTTCTCACCCCACGATCTGATTATAGCATTGTTAGCCTACAAAATGTTGCCAAGTCCAATATTAAAATAAAAATAAAAATTAAGAGCTACCAAGAACAGAAAAATTGCAGTGAAGTCAAACACTATACCTCATCATTGCTGACTGGAACTGAATCGTGCACAAGGTTTCCGATTATTTCCAATTTTGAGTTCAACTGTTTCAGCACATCTTTAGCTTCAACATCTTTCTCTGCAGACAACTTTTTATTTTCTTCAGTATCTTTAATCTTCTCCGATGCATCCTCACCAGCCTTCATTTCAAAAAATAAAAAAAATTTAAAAAAAATCAAAGTTTACAACAGGGCATACTGAAATTTAACCAAACCATAAATTTCACAAGAGAGAAACTTAAATCCCTAAATCGATGACTAACAGTTGCATGGACTTTGAAATTAACACTTAAGAGAGCCGATTCAGTTCCAAAACTAATTTTCTTGCAACCAATACAGGCAAGATATTAACGAAGAGATGAATCTGATAATGTAAGACAGAAAAAACAAGCAAAAAGGTAACAAAGACAAATGAGAAAAAAGGCAGATCAGTTACTATTCTGAGCTGAGCAATTTGCTTGTTGATCTTGTTGAACTCCTTCCTGAGATTCTCGAGCTCAAATTGGCCTACACGAATCCTAATTTATCAATTTCAAAACAGATAGATAGAGCAGGAAAAAGAAGAAAAGAAAAAAAGCAATGAAAAAGTGGTAAAAAATGAGAATTACGTTGACGCCATTCCTTATCAAGCTTAATGACTTCATCAACGAGTTCAACGTTAGCAAATCGGCGGCGCTGAGATTCGCGGATGATTTCAGGATTGTTACCCTTCTCTTCTCTGAAGAGATTGATATCCAACATCTCTCTCGATTTCCGCTGCCTCTGAAGAACAACAAACAACAGGGTCCAGAAAATGCAAGCAAGATTCAGAGAGAAAGAGCTTTAAGCTGTAAAACCCTAATCCTGAGCATCAGCCCGGTTCACAACCGAACCGATGTCCATGATTGGACCAAACCGGCTTCCAACCAGCGGTTCAGGGTTGCAGACGAGACGTTCATCAATGAAATTTGAGAGACAAAAATGGGTACAAAGACCGTACCGAAGAGATGAGTGATGCGGCGGCGGCGGCGGCGATGTGCTACGAGGGAGAGGGAGGCATTGGGGTGTAGGGTTAATTAATTTATATTTATAATGCAATATAATATCATTTTAAATAATTCTTCGGTTCGGTCGGTTTGGTTGTTTTTGACAATCACGCCATTTTCCTTCAAATTTAAACTAAAAGTATTATAAATATTATTGTATGCTTATTATATTATGTTTAGTGGCCAAAAATCTGATTGCTCAAGTTTTTCTTACTTGGTGCCCAAGTCTTGGTACCAGAAAATTGTCATTTTTAACCCTGAATTTTTTCATTATTTACATTTCATCGCTGATATGAACTATAAAGAAACAAGAAACCCTGAATTTTTTCATTATTTACATTTCATCGCTGATATGAACTATAAAGAAACAAGAATCTGTTTGATGTTGTTTACTATAATTTTTCAAAAATTAAAATCAGAATTTCTTTGATATTTTTTCTTTTTTGAGAAATTAAAATCAGAATTTCTTTTATCAAAATGGTGTGGAATTAGAATTATATAAAAATTACTAATATACTTCTCTCTTCTTTTTTGCAAATTATAAATACATGTGTTATTTTTTAATTGAAACAATAATATAATATATTTTATTTTATTGGTAAATGTTTTTATTATAACACTTTATTTAATATTAATAAAATATTTAACATTTAAAATAAAATTACATCAATTAAAATATATTTTTATTAAAATAACTCTCATTTAATATAAAATATTATTATTATAATATTCAGTAAACGAAATATATTTTTAAAATGTATTAATATTAATAAATAATAACAAAGTAAAATTAAAAAATTAAATATAGATTTATATTATTTTATAATAATATCATATTAACTAATAAAAGTTGTATAAAATTTTGTTAGATGAAAAATTATGAATAGTATAAATAAAAAAGAAATAATRAAAGTATAAAACAAATTAATTAAAAATGTTATGGATCTCATTTATAGAGAAAGAACAAAAATAATAGATTAAAAAGCACATTTGGTATCTCTACGTTCATATTAGTAACAATTTAGTCCATATAGTTTAAAATTTGTAATAATTT